ATATTATTATATTATTATTATAATAATATATACGATAAGGTGTTATATATCAAACCATAATCCTCTATACTCAATAATTACCATATATTGTTATTGCAATACTGTTTTTTTTACAAATTAAATAATTTTTCTACTATAATAGTTTATAACATAATTCAGAATAAATGGTCAATTCATCAATATTTGATCAAATAATTGACAAGTTTCTTCAAAAGAGTTATTTGTAATACAGATTTGTTCCGACTCTGAATTCGAACATTGTAGCTGATAGAGTGATAACAGCGATGAGATGCAACGAGAAATACGCTATAATTCCGAGCTACTTTGGAGTTCTTATGTGGATGAAGTGGTAAGCAATTCGTTATGTTTTTTTTTATACTCGTCTTATGTCACGTATGTATGTATACGTACATTAAACTGCAATTTGAAAGATATGTAGAATTTAATGTTTTTTTTTTCTACTGTGATAATTCTGTTTCTCTTCTATGTTTCCTTCAAAAAAGATTATTCCCAAATAATTCAAGCTCGTTTCGTTTTTCTTTTGCATAAATTGCAGGATAATGCCATGGTCAATCATCTCTATGTTCCTTCGCGCATTAGTTGTGGACGCTTCACCGAACAACAAACCGCATGTAACTGCGACCGACAACGAGAAAGATTCGTCTCATAACTTGCCGTCAAAGAGCGCGGTCATCCGCCAACCATTAGCTAGACGTACTTCCAACTCCGAGAGAAAACCTTAAATTCTCTCTCGCTCTATCTTGATCCTTGAGACCTAAGGATGTTAATTTATCCTAGAACTTTCACTTGTGTATGTGTATGATCTTTAATTTTCCGCAGTTTAATCTTTTGACTTCAAAGTTTTTTGATAATAAAAAACTATCGCCGTAACGCGATATTCTTACTAACATAAATATATTATAAATATATTAAAGTTTCTATGAAAAATAAACATGTAGGTTCGTATGTAGCGTTTTTGTGATGATTCTGGCAGATTGTTTCAAAATCGCGTTGATCTGTCTTCGAGCCTCTCGTTTACCATTGCGCAAGTGAGTTCTCGTAGTTAAAAAATAGAAAAATAAGTTTTGGATGATTTTGCGTTACGTTTTTAGACAAAATGCTCTTGAAACGGATCAACGCAAAAAAATGTGATACCTATAAATGTCATAAATATAGTACGATACATATAATAATATTAAAACAAACGTCTATAATTTAATACTATACAAAATCACAAAAGCGTGAACATTTCAGGTTTGCGAAATTTTTTGTACAATTATTAGAGAGACTACTGCTTTTCTTATTATTTTTTCTATCCATATATATAAGATATGTATGTCTTCCAAAGATGACATATGTTAAATATTCTTACAAATAACAAAAGTTGCGCGCAGCGCAAGCTTGAATTGTCCAAAGCGTAGGTAGGTTTAATGAATAATTGCGCGCTTATTGTGTTACATCAATACGAGTGGGTTAAAGTAAATATGCATAAAGTATACATAAAGTATATACATACGTATAAATATGTACATTTTAAATATGTTATTTTAAAACAAAATATAAATATGTGTGCAAAATATTGTAACAATACTTTAAAACATTTTTATAAAAGAGAAAGATTGTAATACGCGTATTAAAATTCATCAATACAAGAATTGTATTTTATTACAAATACTAACAGGGATATGTGTGCTGAGAAAAATATAACATTAAGTAAATAATTACATACACACACGCGCGCAAGCTTGTGTGTATATGTATGTATATGTATATATGTGTAACAAATATATTTGTCTTCAATTCCTGTTCGCTTTTATAACAGATTTCGAAAAACACAAATATAAATAATCAACTTCTGTATATATAGTGCCATAATCATCTCAAAACTGACAGGATAATACAGATCTGTGAAAGTAAGAGTGCTGAAAGTTGTTTGATAATTAAAAGTAGATTCTCTTAATAATTTATGTAATTTTGTGCGCACTAGCTGCAGAAATTGTTTATCACGTCAAATTTTTTGAGATAAATGGAATTAAATAATTCAAAAATGACAATTTTTGATATTCATAAAAGTATTACAAAAACAGCAAGTTATTTTCTAGATTTTTATTGATGGCTTAATAGTACTATTCTTTCTTTTCAAAACGCAGTTTTATTTTTCAACGTGTAATTTTTCTCGCCGAAATACCAGTTAAAAGATGAAAACGTAGAAGAGAGAGAGTATTTTTTTTATAGATTAAAGGAATAATTGGGGCATTATAACAGATAAACGATATATTTCAAAGAGTTTTGGAGATTGCTGATTTTAAATCTAGTGTCAGATTTACAAAATCAAAATGGCAGAATCAATATGACAGACTTCTAAATTCAATTTTGAATAATTATCTGTATTTCTATCATATGAAGCTATCACAAATAAAAAGTTTTAAAAATAATTTGTTTTCTCTGTAATATTGTTATGAATTTAGAATAAATATTCATTTATGCTATTTTACTCCAAAACTACTCTTTATCTCAAAAACTTGATATAATAGACATTCTGCGACCAGATTTGTATTCAGCACACAAACTTGTGTAAAAACTACTTGTAATCCTTAAACAACGAAACTTTGCAGATCTATGTGATTAAAGTACACATGTAGTACCGACACATTGTATGAGATCTTCGTACATCGCACAACAACAAAGAAAATGCAATAAACTGTTCTAGATTTTATCTTTATATATACAAACGACATGTTAATTGACTTGCGTTAGAAACTTCATTTCAGGAAATGCTTTTTGACAATTGCAAATTCGATTGAACTCTCCATTACAACTTTCCATTACAATTCTTTATATAAGATGTGATTCACCAGATTGATGGTTTTGTTAGAAATCGTATAATTATGTCGATGTAATACAGTGCAGTTGCTCGTGCGTTAAATAGATTAACAACACGAAGAGACTAACTTTCACTAGAATTGCGCTGCTTTCTGTGTCACGAGTCGTCTGAAGAAGCTTTCTACTTGTCAATATGGATTACATCTTATTTAAATTTAACGAGATAAAAAACTGGAAAAATAGATCTAATTAGATCTAAATTAAATCTAAATCAATATAAAGTAGATCTAAATAGATATAAGAGATATTTAAATAGATTTATGTAAATTTACACTTTATTTATTCTTAGATCTCTATTTTACATCTACTCAGATGTACTATTTTAGATCACGTCAGATCTGTTCAGATCTGCTCAAATTTAAGTATAGATCTGAATAGATATATCTAATAATAACTAAAGGTGTAAAAAAATTTACATAGATTTACTTATATCTATTTAGATATAAGTAGATTTATTAGTATCTATAATATCTATTTAGATTTACTTTATATCTCTATTTAGATGTAATTTGGATTTTATTATAAAACTATTTTTCCATTTTTTTATCTCTTTAAATTTAAATTAGATCTAATCCATTTTTCTTGGGTTTCGTAAAATTTATGACAAAAAATATTGTCGTAAGTTTTTAAGTGGACCTTGACACATACACCTGATCAAGCAAGATTAACGTTCTAGTATTCAAAGATTGTGATATGACAAATTAATCTTATCTTGAGCGCAGTGAATGATTTAACCATCAGATATTTAATGTTTGTAGATCAGGGTGTGTATGTGACTAATAATTTCTATGTTTACTATGACAACGATAAGTTCGCTAGCAGTGAATTTAGTGAATTTTGTATTTGGTAAGATTATTATAGTTATATAAAATATTCTGTAAAATATAATAAATAATAATATATTAATAGTTTAATTTAATTTAATAATGCATCATAAATTGCACACATTTTGTGAATTTAATATCATGTTAATTTGCCAAATATAATAATAAATTGTTACAAGCGCACACGCGGTTTTAGTAAGATACAATAATAACACGTTATGTACCGAATCGATTTTCGGTGATTTTGGAAGACGATCGGAAATCATGATCACGCCACGTGAGGCGATATACGGGCAATAAACAATGATAACTGCGGTATACATGATATGTAGACATAAATACATACTTTTGCAAAAAATTTCTATTTAAGCTCACACAGCACTTGTGTGTGTATAACATTTTTACTATATAATTATTTACTATATAACTATTATTATATATAATAAAAGTGATACATATAAATGTGTTTACATATTTTTATATATCGTACACATTTGGTATATATTTATTAAGAATGGACTGTAATAATCAGTATATGTTAACAAAAACTTTGTTTGCGTTGTAAAAAAGTACTTTAAATTATCAATTAATAAAGATTCTTTTAACTCCCTGAAAATTCAAACGAAATATATTTAGGTTGTAAGAGCCGATCGCAGGATGTTTATGTCAATTTTAAGTTGTCTGCTAAAAGTCAACTTAAAATCAACTTTTAAAAGTCGACTATAAGTTGACTGAAAAAGGTCGACTATAAGCCGACAATTAGTCACTCGTGTTGTGTGGAAAGCGATTTCAAATTTTACAAGTTAGGTTTTTTATTTTTTTATTTATATTACGTGCGGATTTTATTTATCTTTTATTTTAATAAGCATCTAATACACATAATTTGAAAATATTAATTACCCACATGTAAAAAAATTTATGGCACTTATTTATTACAAAATATTCATAAACTTCAAACATAAATCGATATATTTACAACTAACAGTAAAATAATAATATATTAACAATTACATCAATTTATGCCTCATTACGTAACAATCGGTTTAATCGTCCTTGTACATAGATGGTACTCTAAATCGAGTGGTGGCTGGACGGAAAAGTGGATTCTCGTCTAGAGCATAAACAGTTTTTTTACGCTCCTGCTCAAACTTTGCATACTCTCTTCGATCTTGTATCGAAGTCCAACATCTAAAATAAAAGATCGCATATACAGGGTGTTTGATAAGTACCGTCTCATCGCTCGTAGGTAGGTAGAAGGGGTTATTCTGAGACAAAAAGTCCTATACCACTTTGGAAAATTCGCAATAATTAACGAAATATTAACGAATAAAGATTTATTTTAGTAGATTTATCTTTGCAGTTCTGATATCGCAGTTCTGTAAATAATTATTTAAATCACAATTGTCATGTAATTTAAAAGTTATAAATAAAGTATTGTCAATTGTTTATTTTGTTCTACAAATTCGCGCAAAAAAAGAAAAGCACTTACTTCCATACAAATAAGCCGACAATGCAGACAAACAGTACGGCAGCAAAAACGATTCCAGGGATAAACGCGGCTGGCATTACCGTGTGACAAGTCTGCAAGATCCGAAGAGAAATTAAACGATTCGCGAGACAATATTTCGCGAACGGAACATGCGAATTTATTATCATCACACACGCGATGCATACCTTGTTGGCAATTTTCAACAATACTGTTTTATCCGGTTGAAATTTGTACACATAAGGTATGGTACAGATGGTTCTCTCCTGTATCGTCCTCACAAAACAATAATGCTCGTCGTCTGTTTGAAAACACTTACATGAATATGAAACAAAGCAAAAAAACCGAGTCTTTCGCAAATTCGCAAATATCTGCTGAAAACGCACTCGTGAAAGTTTATAATATACACATTCGACGAGTGTATGTGTATGACATAATACGAGAATTAAACCGTGTCGAGCGCAAATTCGTACCTGTATCTATCACGTCTATTCGCTCGGTTTTGTAAAGAGTTGTGTTGGTCTGACATAGTTCTTTCGCTTTCTCCGGATATTCGAGCGTAATGTTCACACAAGAATTATAAAGGATACACAGCCCGCTGCCGCTCGCGCTTGCCGACGATTCGCAGTAAGTGCCGCGATAATAGAGACCATCTGCCGCCGTCTCGTTGCATCTGCAAACAAAAAAAAATGCAATCTTTAAAAAGAATTATACATATATCGCAAGTATTTTGTTATTTTGCGATATTTTCAAAGAGAACATTGGGCTGAAGAAACTGACAAACTGACCGGCACTGTCCGCAATAGCAGTATCCATGACTTGCGCACACATCTTTGCTACCAGGCGCGACGCAGAGCTCATTACCGGACGGGCACTGACAGCCATTGCCTTCCCATCCGTCCAGACAATTGCAAACACCGCAGTCGCACGTGCCTCGATTGTTGCATTCAATTCCGTCAATCTGTCAAGTTCAACAATAACTTCTCGGAAACAAATCAATATAATAATAATAAAATACAATTTTAACACACAACATATGTGCATCAATTGCACATTGCCAAATTAATTAAATTTCAATTGTCGGTTTGTTATTTGTCGGATTGAAAAATTGTAAAAGACTTTTTCTGGCTCGACTTTTTTCGATTACATAGATAACGTATATATATATATATGGTTTCATTTATAACATTCGACTGAGAAACACGCGCTGCTGTGCACCTTATCGCAAGGAGAACACTCGCAGAAATAACCGTTGTATCCCTTATCGCAGTTGCAAACGCCGCAGATGCACTCGCCTCTGTTTGAGCAGACTTCCGTGCTATTGACAGCGATGCATTGCAGTCTGTTTTCTGTTGATGAACTTTCGTCGCAGTCGCACGTATTGCCTGCGGAAACACGCGAGTCAGACGTGTAAAACAAGCGTTTACTCAAAGACATTTGAGTATATGTGTATAAAATTATATGTATAAAATACACTTTGCGCTAGAACTGACGCTGATGACAAAGATGATATCTTACCAGACCAGCCGAAGTCGCATTTACATACACCGCATTCGTCAACTCCGTGTTGGCAGTGCGGGCTTTCCACGCTTTTGCAATCGCAGCCGCAGAGAAGTTCAACTTCGATCCGCACCTCGGACGCCTCGGACGCTAACGCGTCATCGATTATCACTGTTTGTTTCTGATAAAATATCGTGAACAAACATTGTCAAACATTGCTTCAAGATTGAGCACGAACACGGGCGCAAGTGACGGGCCGACAAAAGTTTTTTTCTTCTCTCGAATAATGAAAACCTCTTGAATTATATTATACAAAGAAAACTGTTGTGTGTAGAAAAAAAAAAAAAACACTTCCGAAGCTTTGTCACCCCGTTTTTTGTGTTAAATAAAAAAGAAAAATAGAATCTTTCTCTTTTTTAAATATCCCTAATAGGCAACATGTGAAAATATTGCACAAAAATGGCATCGTGAATGACGACGATTTTGCAATGACTGCGCTAAGGATGATTCGCCATAACGCAACGGTTTTGTCGAAATAAAATTTTGTAAATAATATTTGTCAGAAATTGCGAAAGAGTCGTTATGCATTTCCATAAGTATGTACATGAATTAAGTTGATTTCTTCACATATGCAATTATATTTCTCTACATATTTTGAACATTACATAGCTGAAATTTTTTTCTCAATTATCAGATAATTTCTTTTTGAAATTAATTTTGCAAATATCCTGCTAAGATGATTCGCCATATCGTTGTTCTTTTGCCGAAATAGTATCTGAAAAGTAATTTTGCACAACAACCACAAATATTTGATAAAAGATCAAATGTTTTTACATCTATTTCCTAAAATATATCTGTATAATTGCAAATTACAATTTTAGTGCAAGATTTCGTCACATAATTTTGTAAATGTTTTCCTATCAGGGATACGATATATTCATGACATTTTTAAAAATTTTGTCGGAGAGAATTCAATTGTAATTGACTTATTAAGTTCCGCAACACATTCTGCTCACCCAAAGGTTTTCGTTTCTCGGACATTCGCTGACGGACACAACAACTTTGAACTCGTACACTTGACCTTCTTGTATCCCGTCGCACTCGGACGACTCCACCGCGGTCATACCTTTTCCGCACGTAGAGAAGTAGCTGAGTCGCAACGGATTGGTCGAATTGTCACGCAGCACCACTTTGCTGACTATCTCGTGATAAGCGCTCTCGATGATTTCGAGGATGTTAGAACTGTTCCGCGTCAACGTGGCCACTCGGGCCTGCTCGTTCAATAAATCGGCGATCAGCTCGTATTCGTGGCGACGATCATCCGTTACGGCAAAGATCAGATTGAATTTTCGTTCGCGCAGCAATCGAGAGATTTCCGCCAGCGACGGATAATCGTATCTCTTTGCCAAAGAATAACGTCCATACTCGTCGATGTGACATCGAAAGTCCGGACGATCTACCACACCACCTAGCTGAAAACAGAGAATTTTTCCGATATAATTCCGATAACGTGAAAAATAAACGAATTATGTGAGAAGTGAATTTTATTTTCATTCATTACTTTTCCTTCCCCGGCAAAGTGCAGAAATCCGTCGGTTGCCATCAGTAACAGTTTCCGCGCTTGGCGAGCCCATCCAATCTGCTGATCGCATACAATCGCTTGCACAACTCCATCGAGGCCGCTTTCCAGGTTGTCCACGTTGCCGGTCACCGAACTGTAATTTACCTATAACTCATGTAATTCATGTAGATTTAATAAAGATTTTAATCAAAAAGTATTAATATAAGCGAACTAAAAGTTTTGTTGATTCAAATAATGTATTTGTTTGTGTATTTGACTTGAAAACTCAAAATATAGTTATAAATAAAAGTTCGAAAATATAATTGATATTGATGTTGAAAAAATTTATTTTTTGTTAAATAAAATCAAATATATATAAATAAAGTTTTGTTTCTTTATTTATTTCTTCTCTCTCTCTCTCTCTCTCAATTTTTATGTCCGAAAAACATACTTCCTGAATAAACCTCGGTATGTTGTCGGTGAGTTCGAGGTGATGCCAGAACGAATACAGCGGCGTGCAAAAGGCGTGTTCGCTTTTGCAAGGATTTTTCTCGTGTCCCGGAAAGATGTACGGCATCAGAGGCTTATCGGCGTAGCTGCCGAAGCCGAGGCGAAAATATCTGGTGAACGTGCCGAGAGTGTTCGCCATTCTCGAGCCCAATCCTACCAAGGTTTCTTTGTCATCTTTCATCGACCACGTGAGATCCATGAGATAGTAAAGATCCAAGGGATAATTCCTAATTGAAGAACAACTTTATATAGAAAATGTATTTCTATATAAATTTCAAAATATACAGTGTAATTTAATGAGAGACGCTCCTGTCTATTGTATGATAATACAATGTGTTAATCTGTTTTATGAAAATTCATATTGATATAATTTATAAAAATTGATCGCTCAATCTCATTATTCTGCAATCTACTCTTGTACATTATCAACATTGCTAATTTTATATTCTAGCAATATAATGTAACATCGTTGATATATTACAGAGATCGGCACACTTAATGTCAGATAATGCAAAAGGACATACGCGATTGCATTCTGTAATCATGTAGAACGACGACTTCCCACGCGATCCACAAACGCAATTTCCATCCGTATAGCACACGCGAATCGCGCTTGCGTGTGAGTCGTATTTATTAATAACTTATTACTTCAATATACTATCTATATATTAACATATAACAAAGAAATTTCTCCGCCGATATTACGTTTATGCAAAAAGTTGCGTTTATTGAAAGTTTGTGTTGCAACAAAGCAACGTACTTTTTTGCAACTTAAATAAATTTTTATCTAATAATTTGTGCAAGTATTATTAATTTATACAATTAATTAGTACCTAGCCGGTCTGTAGTGGATCGTTATTGTTTCGCTTGATCGCGGTCTCATCTTGAGACGCAGCCTCTGCGGTCTCAGTTGTACCGGATCTACCGTCCGTCCGTCCGTGACATCCCGAAATCTCTCATTCGCCAGCACGTGCACCGATCCCGGTGGTGCGGTGCGGATTTCCGCGTCCGGACAGCCAAAAGCGCGCAGACGCTCCGGCACGTTGCACCTCGGTTTCCCGTACGTGGAATTCGAATATGACTGGTGCGATTATTGCAAAAAAAAAGAGCATGTCACACAGTTAAAACCGCGGATAAAATTATTCCGCGCGTGCGAGTGCTTTGATAAAAAAAAAAAACACTACTTCATCGCGAATATGTGACTGTTCTGGTTAAAACTGTGCAAAGTTAACTCAAACTTGTTTGTTGATTAATATTTTCATTAACAATTAAGTGTTGTACGTTTGTTATTTATTTAGAAATATAAATATATTTATGTATTGTATTATTTATTTATTTATTTTTGCGATAAAAAATTGAAATATTCTCTCTCTATATTATAACTGGCTAATTTATTTCTATGTGTAACTAATTTATTAATAACTGTCCAATTCATTTCTTTGAAGATTCGCGTAAAATTTTTTAAATGCAATTATAATATCTTCTATGTATATTATTTCTTGTAAAGTTCAATGTTAATAAAAATTTTCTTATTATCCTCGCGGATTATATGAAAAAAATCAAATTTTACCCAATTACTGCACCAGGCGCAAGATAAGTTGGCTTCCAAGCAATTCTCGCAGGTGCTTTGAGAAGTGCACAAGCTTAGAATCTTCGTATTTACACTGAGACATAACTTCATAAAATACAAATTTAATACAAGCGGCAACGATACATGAAATTTCATATTCATTAACTTTGTCTCTTTCTCGATAAAATTGCACGAAATTTCTAAAATCGACACTTGCTGCGTTGAAGCGAGATCTTGCAAAAGTAAAAAAAAAAAGCCTTGCTTTTTTGAGAATAATTTGTTTTTTTTTTTCACGCGCGCGCGCTCTTTACCCGTTGTTTTACAAGATCCGCGCTCGGTTTATTCGCGGACTTTTGACGTGCGTCGATCGAGGCGATACTTGCGAACATATCACGTTGCGGCGCGCGTTTCTTCGAGCGAATCGATACGCGTTGTAGTATGTGTTTGGTTTGCGCGCAATGTCAGGTGGCACATCGGGATCCGTGGCATAACTCGGGCAAACAGCAATAACGTAGATAAAACTTTAACAGACGTGTTTTCTCTTATCAGCGACACCGATAACGATAAAATTCAGATTTGCGAATCGTCGATTTGGCAAACAGACGACGAACGGTGGTTTTTCCTATCGTCGCCAGCGCGTTATTCATCGCGTTTTAACACTGTTTTCTATTATCACGGACAGACTTGTGTAATCTGTTGATTCGTTTGATTATTATTATTATTTTGATTTTTTATTATTATTATTAGTGTTATTTTGTCTTTCTTATTAAAGAAATTGTTTATTATACTTATTTGTCGTATTAAATATAGAATATATGATATTCTACATGTTAATTTTTTTGCACGCAAACGAAGCAATAGAATCACGTTACGCGACATGCGTTTGATTTTATTCTGACACATATAGAGACATGACTAAATACTGCTAGATTTGTTGCAGTACTATAAATGCTAATCGCGCGACCTAGCTGTTAGCTACAGCTGACAGCTTTAACGCAGATATAAATAGCAAGAACTATTATCTTGAATTGTGAAAGCTTAAAAAAATGTAAAAAGTGATCGATTTTTGCCCCCGGTGTGGCAAATAAAATTCGAGTGATTTTTCATAGATTTTTTAGTCGTAGAATCACATGGCGGGTATTTAGTTTTTACATAACATCCAGAGAAAATATGAAAAAATTGAGAAAAAGTAGGAAAAAATGCATATCAATGACCTCGGCCGCGCGGCCTTGGTGGGGAGGAGGGTCACTGACCTGGGCCGCGCGGCCTTGGCGGGGCACTGACCTCGGCCGCGCGGCCTTGGCGGGGTCACTGACCTCGGCCGCGCG